CTCCACATCCCAGAATGATAGATTCACTGACAGCTTGCACCATGTGCCTGGAGAAGCTGGAGACAGTGCCAGCTCATGAAAGCAGTTGATGTGGCTGTACCTTGCAGAGCCACAGGTCCAGAGATGCCCAAGACTGTGGGAACCCACCCTTGCCTCAGTGTGGCCTGTATGTGAGACATGGACTCAAAGGGCTTTATTTTGGAGGTTTAAGACTTAATGACTGCCCTCCTGGGTTTTGGACTTGCATGAGGCCTATAGTCTCCTGTTTTTTGGCCGATTTCTCCCTTTTGAAATGTGTATATTTACCCAATGCCTGTAACCCTATTGTATCTTGGAAGTACCTAACTTGTTTTTGATTTTACAATCTCATAGAAGGAACTTGCCTTGTCTCAGATGAGACTTTGGACTGTGAACTTAAGTGTTAATGCTGAAATAAGTTAATACTCAAGAGACTGTGGAGAAGGGAAGATTATATTTTGCAATGTGAGAAGAACATGAGATTTTGGAGGGTCCAGGGGCAAAATCATATGCTTTGGATTTGTGTCCCCACCCAAATCTTATGTTGAATTGTAATTCCCAATGTTGGAGGAGGGGTTTGATGAAAGGTGATTGGATAATGGGGTCAGATTTCCTCTTGCTGTTCTCCTGATAGTGACTGAGTTCTCATGAGATCTGATTGTTTAAAAGTGTGTAACACCACTTCTTCACTATCTTTCTCCTGGTCCAGCCATGTAAGAAGTACCTCCATCCTCTTCACCTTCTCTCATGACTGTAAGTTTTCTGAGGCCTCCCCAACCATGCTTCCTGTCCATTCTGCAGAACTGTGAGTCATTTAAACCTATTTTTATTAAATAAATTACTTGAATTTAGGTAGTTCTTTACACCAATGCAAGAATGGACTAATATACTATGTAATAATATAAATATTGTGATTAATTTGAGGGCAAAATGAAAATAATTAAACAATTTGAAATAATATTTCTTCATTTTACATATAATACACAGGGTTAAAACAAAGAAATGAAAAGTGTAAAGGGAAAAGATCACCTACAACTCAGAGACACCTTCTATTAACATGAAATATATTTTAAAATTAAAACATTACTGTCTTTATTATATTTATTATATTATATTATATGTAATTACATTGGATGAAAGGGCAACTATATATAATTGTATCAACTATATATAATTGTATCAACTGATGATTTGGCAGACTATTGCACAAACTAACTCAGTAAGCAGTAGTTTTGCCATTTTGTGGCAATGGTTTTATATAACCACTAGAAAAAAATGCATTCTGAAGTAAAAAAATATATATGCTATTACTAAGTCAATAAAAATATTGACTCCTGATACCATTTAAAACTTCATATGTTTTCAAAAATTGACCAACAGATGAAAGCTTATGTTCACACAGAAACTTATACACACATTTATAGAAGCTTTTTAATCATCTAAAGCTTAAAAAACTCAAATTGTTGATCAACAAATGGAAGAATAAACAAATTGTGGTATATGCAATAGAAAGAATTAATTGTTGACATGCATAACACATAAGTACCTCAAAATATAGACAATCCCCAACTTGCATTGGTTCTACTTAACAATTTTTTTAACTTTAGAGTGGGAAAATGATATGTACCTAGTAAAAACTGTACTTTGAATTTTGAATTTTGATCTTTTTCAAGTCTACTCATATGTAAGAAAGATAATCTCTTACAATGTTGTGCAGTTGCAGCCAGCCATAGCTCCCAGTCAGCCATGGCACCATGAGGGTAAACAACTTATACTGTACTGTGCAGTGTACTGTATTTAATAAATTACATGAGAAATTTAACACTTTATTATAAAGTAGGCTTTGTGCTAAATTATTTCATCGAATGGTGGGCTACTGTAAGTGTTCTGAGCATGTTTAAGTTAAGCTAAGCTAAGCTATGATATTCCATAGGTTAGGTACATCAAATGCATTTTGACTTGCAATATATTAAACTTGTGATGGGCTTGTTGGAATACAGGCTGTCACAAGTCGAGGTACATTTGTAATGTGATCAGTAAAAGAAGCAAGAAAATAGCACATTTTGTAAAAATTCATTAACACAAAGCTCTATAAAATGAAAACCTATAGTGACAGAAAGCAGATTAGCAGCTGTCACACACAGGGGAAGGGAGGTTTGTCATGGAGGTAGGTGGAGATATTGTGGTGTGTGGGAAGAGATGGAAAGAATAAATTCTTAAGGAGCACTAGAAAATTTCTGGCAATGTTAGATTTAAAACTTTCAGGATTGTGGTGATGGCTTCACAGGTGTGAACATGTGTCAAAACCACCCAATTATACACTTGAGACACAATGCAGTTTATTACATATCAATTATATATCAGTAAAGCTATTAAGAAAATAATATATCCTACATCCTATTCACCTCTGATAAAAAGAAAAAGAAAATGATAAGCCATTAGTATTTATGACACTTCTTGATATTCTTTGTCTTTGTTCTATAATGCTCAACAATCAAGATATTTGGAAACATTACCGATTCTTCCAGAAAAGTAGAAATGAATATTTAAGCTACTTGGACATTAGTTATTTGCAATTCTTGCAAGTTACCTTTCTAAATTATCCTCTGACTCTTGTATCTTTAGCATAAAGGCCTTTGCTTTTGTAATCGTACGCACGCAAAACATCATAAAGCCAGCTGATTGACATTGTATTGAAATTTCCATTTTGAGCTAAATGAATACTGAAACATCCAATGATTATTGCTGCAAGTTATGTTACCAGACTCAACCACTTTAACACTGTTGGAACCTTGTAACACAAGAAGTTAGAAAGTAAGCTCGGTTTTCCCACGTCTGCTCATGACAAAATATTCCAAATTTCTGTATAGATAAAGCTTCTCATTTTCATTTAAGTTTCCGCAAGTGCTGAGTTTGTTTTCCTTGGCAATGTGTAATATGTTAGGAGATGTGTGCTTGTGTGTGTGTGTATACATATTTTATTTGGAACAAATGAGTAAAATTAGAAACCGACAAATGGTTAGGAAGTAGAAATATTTATGAAAATTTTGAAAAAACTCAATGCATTATACTTTCTATCAAAGTTCACACAAAACCATCATGTTCTTAATAACAGCTTTGGCCAGGCACGGTGGCTCAAGCCTGTAATCCCAGCACTTTGGGAGGCCAAAGCAGTTGGATCACAAGGTCAAGAGATCGAGACCATCCTGGCCAACATGGTGAAACCCCATCTCTACTAAAAATACAAAAATTAGCTGGGCGTGGTGGCACACGCCTGTAGTCCCAGCTACTCGGGAGGCTGAAGCAGGAGAATTGCTTAAATCCAGGAGGCGGAGGTTGTGGTCAGCCGAGATTGTGCCACTGCACTCCAGCCTGGTGACAGAGTGAGACTCTATCTCAAAAAAAAAAAAAGAAAAAAAAAAGCTTTATTAAGATATAATTTACATAATATGAAATTCAGACTTTCAAAGTGTATAATGATTTATAGTATATTCACAGAGTTGTGCAAAAAATCACTGTTTATTTTCAGATATCTTAAACACCCACAATATAAACTCTGTATGCAATAGCAGTCACTCTTTATTCTCCCTTTCCATCCAGCCCCTGTCAAACACTAATCTGCTTCCTATTTCTATGGATTTATCTATTCTGGACATTTAATATAAGTGGAATTATATAATAAATGGGTATTTGTGACTGTTTTCTTTCACTTACGTTGTTTTCCATTTTTAAAATTCTATTCACACTAGTGGATGTAAAGTAGGATTTCCTGGTGGTTTTAATTTGTATTTGCCTAGTCACTAATGAGGTTTAACATTTTTCATGTCTTTGTTATCCATTTTATATCATAACTGGAGAACATTTTATTCAATTTTTTGTTCGTGTTTTAATCAGATTATTTGTCCTTTAATTGTTGAATTGTAAGATTTTTAAATTATATTTTGGATACTAGCCTCTTATCAGTTATATGATTTGCAAATGTTTTATCCTATTCTGTGCATTATATTTTCATTTTATTTATGGTGCTTTTTAAGGTACAATTTGTGTGTGTGTGTGTGTGTGTGTGTGTGTGTGTGTGTGTGTGATGTACCTATGTATAGACTTTTTTTTGAATTTTTGTGGCTACACAGTATATTTATGGGGTACCTAAGATGTTTTGATACAGGCATGAATGTGTGACAATCACATCGTGGAAAATGAGGTATCCATTTCCTCAAGCATTTATTGTTTGTATGACAATCCAATTACATTCTATTAGTTATTTTAAAATGTAAAGTTAAGTTATTATTGGCTATACTCACCTGTTGAGTTATAAAATAGCAGGTCTTACTCATTCTTTTTAGTTTTTTGTGACCTTTATCTCCGCATTCCTTCCAGACTCCCTACTACCCTTCCCAGCCTCTGATAACCACCTTTCTTCTCTTTATCTTCATGAGTTCAATTGTTTTGATTTTTAGACTCCACAAATGAGAACATGCAATGCTTTTCTTTCCTTGCCTGGCTTATTTCAGATAGCATATTGACCTCCACTTCTACCCATGTTGTTACACATGCCAAAATGTCATTCTTTTTATGGCTGAATAGTACTCCATTATGTATATGTACCACATTTTCTTTATATATTTATCTGTTGGTGGACACTTAGCTTACTTCCAAATCTGAGTTATTGTAAACAGTGCTGCATAAAACATAGGAATATAAATATCTCTTTGAGAGATGTACGGATTTTCTTTCTTTGGGGTATATACACAAGAGTGGAATTTCTTGATCATATGGAAGCTCTCTTTTTAGTTCTTTGAGAAACCTCAGAACTGTTCTCCATAGTGCTTGTACTAAGTTACATTCCCACCAACAGTCTACTAGCATTCCATTTTCTCCACGTCCTTGCCACTATTTGTTATTGCCTATGTTTTGGATGTAAGCCATTTTAACTGGGGTGAGATGACATCTCATTGTAGTTTTTTTTCAAGTTTCCATTATTTATTAATCAGTGTAATCTCAAATAGATTACTTCAACATGATTTCATGCATTTAGAGGAGAAATATTTCCTAGTTAAGTGGAAAATTGTGCAAATGACTTCTGGAAGACCTTCATTTTAAAGCAACTTTATAGTGAAATATTTCCTTTAGAAATCCAGATGTTCTTTCTTCAGTTTGTTGTAATCTACATTCACTGAGTAGAACTTGTATTTATCATTGGGACACAGTTTGTTCCAGGGCTCTGGGTTATTTTTTCTGCCCCAACAAACATCTGGATTGAACAATGCCAGATGCAAGAGATACAGGGCTGCTCCAATACCTCCAGCTCTAATAAATAGAAAAAGAGGGATCAAGGTCAGATGCTTCTTAGCCTGAACAATGATCTGGAGGAGCAGGTTTGCAGCATCGGCCTCCGATTGGAAAGGAGAGAACCAGTCTAGCCACTAGGCCCTGGGCTCAGTAGTATCTGCACTGACACAGTGGAGTTCCCTCATTGTAGCTTTGATGTGCTTTTCTCTGGTGATCAATGATGTTGAGTACCTATTCACATGTTTGGCATCTGTTTTTCTATTAAAACAGAAGGCAAACAAGTATTTGTTTGTTCACTATAGTGTTTCACCATTTGTGAGTTCACTGTAGGTGTGTTTGACATTTATTAGAATAGACAAATAAAAATGTCTTCAAATATTTTACCCATTTTTAATGGCATTATTAGATTTTTTTCCTATAGAGATGTTTGAGCTCCTTATATATTCTGGTTATTAATCTCTTGACAGATAGGTAGTTTGCAAATATTTTCCACATTTTGTAGGTTGTCTTTTTCACTTTGCTGATAGTTTCCTTTGCTGTGCGAAAGTTTTTTAACCTGATGTGAATCCATTTGTCCGTTTTTGCTTTGGTTGCCTGTGCTTGTGGTATATTGCTCAAGAAATTTTTGCTCAGACCAATGTCTTGAAGGTTTCACCAAAAATTTCCTTATACTAGTTCATAGTTTGAGGTATTAAAGTTTTCAGTTTATTTTTTTTTTAATTTTTGTATATGGTGGGATATAGGGGTCTAGTTTGACTCTTCTGCATATGCTTATCCGGTTTTCCCAGCACCATTTATTGAAGAGACTATCTTTCCCCAGTGTATGTTCTAGGCACATTTGTAAAAAATGAGTTTACTATAAGTATGTGCATTTGTCTCTATATTCTGCATTCTGTTCCATAGGTCTATGTTTCTGTTTTTATGCCAGTAGCAAGTTTTTTGTTTAATATAGCTCTGTAATATAATTTGAAGTCAGGCAATGTAATTCCTCCAGTTTTGTTCTTTTTTCTTAGAATACATTTGACTACTCTGGGTCTTTTGTGGCTCCATATAAATTTTAGCATTATTTTGATATCTGTGAAGACAGTCCTTGGCATTTTGATAGGGATTGTGTTAAATCTATAGATTGCTTTAGGTAGAATGGACATTTTAATAATACTCCAATCTGTGATTAATTTGATTTACGAATATGATAAATGAAATTACTTTTTAGATTTCTTTTTCAGATTGTTTTCTCTTGGCATCTAGAAATGCTACTGACTTATGTATGTTAATTTTGTATCCTGCAACTTTACTGAATTTGTTTATCAGTTCCAATAGTTTTTCTTTTAAATTTTATTTACTTATTTATTTTTAATTTTACTTTAACTTCCGGGATACATGTGCAGAATGTGAGGTTTGCTACATAGGTATAAATTTGCCATGGTGGTTTACTGCACCTATCAACCCTTCATCTAGGTTTTAAGCCCCACATGCATTAGGTATTTGTCCTAATGCTCTACCTATCCTTGCACCCAGCCCCCTGATAGGCCCCAGTGTGTGATTTTCCTCCATCCCCATGTTCATACCTTGAGGAATTGCCACACTGTCCTCTGCAATGGTTGAACTAATTTAGACTCCCACCAATGTTATAAAAGCATTCCTATTTCTCCACAGCCTAGGTAGCATCTGTTGTTTACTGACTTTTTTATAATCAACCTTCTGACTCGCGTGAGATGGTACCTCATTGTAGTTTTGATTTGCATTTCTTTAATGACCAGTGATAATGAGCTTTCTTTCATATGTTTGGTTTTTTTTTTGCTACATAAATGTCTTCTTTTGAGAAGTGTCTGTTCATATCCTTCACCCACTTTTTGATGGGGTTGTTTTGTTTGGTTTGTAAATTGGTTTAAGTTTCTTTTAGAGTCTGGATATTGGAGATTTGTCAGATGGGTAGATTGCAAAAATTTTCTCTCATTCTGTAGGCTGCCTGTTCACTCTGATGATAGTTTATTTTGTTGTGTAGGAACTCTTTAGTTTAATTAGATCCCATTTGCCAATTTTGGCTTTTGTTGCAGTTGCTTTTGGTATTTTAGTCATGAAGTCTTTGTCCATGCCTATGTCCTGAATGGTATTGCCTAGGTTTTCTTATAGGTTTTTTATGGTTTTGTGTTTTACATTTTAGCCTTTAATCCATCTTGAGTTAAAATTTGTATAAGGTGTAAGAAATAGGTCCAATTTCTGTTTTCTGCACACAGCTAGCCAGTTTTCACAGATACAACAAAAACAGAAAACTTCAGGCCAATATTCCTGATGTACATCAATGGAAATATCCTCAATGTAATACTGGCAAGGGGAAACCAGCAGTTCATCAAAAAACTTACCCATCACGATCATCAGCTTCATCCCAGGGATGCAAACCTGATTCAACATATGCAAATCAATAAATGTAATCTGTCACATAAACAGAACCAATGACAAAATGATTATCTCAATAGGTACAGAAAAGGCCCTTGATAACATTCAACATACCTTCATGTTAAAAACTTTCAGTAAACTATGTATTGATGGAACATATCTCAAAATAATAAGAGCTATTTACAACAAACACACAGTCAATATCATATTGAATTGGGCAAAAGCTGGAAGCATTGCATTTGAAAACCAGCACAAGACACGAATGCTCTCTCTCATCATCTCACCACTCCTATTCAACATAATATTGGAAGTTCTAGTCAGGGCAATCAGACAAGAGAAATAAATAATGGATATTCAATAGGAAGACAGAAACTCAAGTTGTCTTTGTTTGCAGGTGACACAATTTTATATTAAGAAAACCCAATCATTTCAGCACCAGAACTTACTGATAATCACCTTCAGCAAAGTCTCAGGATACAAAATCAATGTTCAGAAATCACAAGCATTCCTTTACACCAACAATAGGCAAGCCGAGAGCCAAATCACGAGTGAACTCCCATTTACAATCGCTACAAGGAAATAAAATACCTCAGGATGCAGCTAACAAGAAATGTGAAGGACCTCTTAAAGTTGAACTACAAACCACTGCTCAAGGAATTAAGAGAGGATATAATGTTCTTGTCATGAACATTAAAATATGTCTTGGACCTTGCTTTCCAAAGAGTCAATATACAAAGATAAAAACCCTTATACCTGTGAGCATTCTTACGTTTACTTTAGGGTATAGAAGCTTAGTCAGTGCCCGTCTTTTCTCTCATTATTCTAACTTCTCCAGCTCCCCACAGTTCAGCTTACTAATTGACCATAACTGTAAGAATATCCCATATAATTCCTGAGCCAATATTGACATAAACAAGTTATACACAAATAGTGTTTAATAGCTTAGCTTGTCCTCCAGTTCTCAATTTGCATTTTGTGAAGCTGAGAATGTAGTCAAAATTTAAATTTGTGTTCTTGTGGTCCTACTACAACCGATAATTTCATATGTTGCCTCTTACATGGACCTTTAACTTTCTGCTTCTATTAAAATTTAGGATCTCATGATTCATAATAAATCCTGGCTTCTGTGTACCACTTGGAATACAGAAGTTTCTTTGGAAATGATAAATAAGACTATGACTCTCTCACAAGGAGCTCATAATACAGTTTTCTCTCAAAGAAAATCAATGGCTTTGAGTTCCAGTCTACTGGACCAGAGCCTGATATCTTATCCAGCTTTTGATGGGCTTCTTTTCTGGGATGCAAAGTGCCTGAGTCCTTTATAACAAGTAGCCAGGTGAGAAGGGAGTCACAAAGCTGGAACAGAGCAGTATTTGAGACAAACACCTAGTAGAAGAGGTAGGTGGGAATTAACTCAACCACTAATGTTTGCACTGAAGAGGTCAGCCAGGCAATTTTGATACAATTCTGACTCTTGAGTCTTTTTGTAGACAAATGTCTAATTCTATGGGCAACCTATAGTAACATGGACTTCAGACAGTGTGGTTCACACTCATGAGTTAGGATCCCCTTTAATGTTTCTTACAGTAAAGCAACAGATTTCTATTTTCAAGAAAGCACTGTTTCAGTTCAGTAACTCCATTTATCAACAGAGTCTAGGACTCATTAGATATAAAAAGCAAAGGTAAAATTTATAGGATGGGATTTGAAAATCTACTACTAGTGACAATCTATGTATAAGAAATTTGTACATGTGATAGAGAGGAATAAACATTACTAGGAGTAAATGGAACTATTGGTTAAAAGTAAATCCAAATCTTAGTCACTCATTTGTTACTGATTCAACAATATTTTTTCAGCATTTACTGTGTGTGGGCTGTTCAAGCACTGGGGATTCAACATTACAAGAAACAGGCTTAAAAATTTTGAACAAACTTCTTTTCTCTGGAATGTTACTCTTGGATAGAAAATAATAAATGAACTTAATAAAAAGGCAAAGTTTTAAGAGTAATCATAAAAAGCAAGGCTGTAGAGCCAGAAAAACCTGAGCTTGAAATTTGCCTCTATCACATACTATCTGAATAACTATGGGCAGATTAATTAATTAACCAGTTTATCTAAGCATCAGTTTACATACATGATAATCAGAAGTAATAAAAACTACTTTTGAAGATTTTTGTGAACACATAAGGAGACAACATATGTAAGCCTACTAGTACAAGAACTTGATACACATCTTAGCTTTTCCTTATGAGAATAAAAGAGGCATCCATACTTTGGTCCTACTGGCACATGACACTTGTTTCCATTATCTTTGTCTACTCTGGATTGGAAAACTCTTTCTCTTTTATTTCATAAACTAGTTATAATACTGTTCTTTTAGTACTCCAAATTTAGTTCAGTTTAATCTGTATTTACTTTGTGCCAGAAAAGATGCTGAATTTTGAAAAGACAAAAATAACAGACTTCTTCCCTTGTTTTTCTCATAGTCTAGTGGGAGAAATAGGCAAAAATAAATAAATTATATGAAACGTGATAACTGCTATTACAGATCTAATCCCAGAGTGCTATGAAAGGACATAGGAGGGGTATCTAAGCCAGACTGGAGGGGTGGAGGTTCATTGATGGCTTCCTGAAGCACATTTGACATTTAACAACCAATAATTCCCTAAAAATATGGAGATTCATGAATCCATGATTCTCT